ATGTGACAGCTGATTCCTTTCTTTTTATCAACAGATGAAATTGTTAGCCGCGGTATGCATACTTTTGTATTAGGAAAAGTTTTATGTATGTAACATACATTTTCTCAGTATTTTGGATATCAAAACATATAGCTTTGTTTAAATGCTCATCCTTGGAAAATAAATCCGATAGAATAGCACTTTCGTTGATTATTTTAAACAAGTTAGTCATTCGCTTTATCAAGAAGTATTGATGTATCAAGGATTTTGTATCACTAAACTGTCTGACCTTTTGGTGTTACGACTATTTGAGAAACAAAATCCACGCAACATTTACAATCTGCTTAGAGATATAGTCCCTTGGTTTATTTTCAGAAGTACTAATCACGTATTGAATACTGAGGTCATGTCATGATTTAAAGGAATCACTAATTTCTATACTTTAATAATTTATGATTAAGTCGTTTAAACTTCTAGTCATATGGAATTTAATGTACTTTAATTAATTATTCATATTTTCAGAAGGATCTTTCTTGAAACTTACACTTCTACCTAGCAATTAAGTAATATTGATTAAGTTGATCTGGTTTTCAGTGTTAGACTTTCGATTTATAATTTGAAACGGAAAAAAGAATGTTGTAAGCTCAAGTGGATGTATTTCTTGGTACTGTTACCCAAGTAGAGCCTCCCAGTCAAACAATTAATCTAAGAAAACATAACATCACAAAAAAAACATTCACACGCAAAAAAATAAAGTAAATTATTCTTAAGCTGAATCCAATAGTTTTAATGTAACTATCCTACGGTTATTATATATAATATCCCAATGAGTAGAAAAATTATATTTCCGAAGTTTCGTGCTCTAGTGTAAGCCACTTTTTTATTTGCTCCGAAGAACTGGCTTACACTTGTTATTATAATGGTGTTTATGTTTAAGTGTGAAGAACAATAAATGCTTTACTATATTTATGGTACAGCATCAATTGTTCTACTATGAATATGGTAAAGCATTGATTGTTCTTCATACTTAAACATTCATTAATAGATATTGACTAGTCTTCAAACTCCAAGGATGGAATGGACAACACCGGATATGAAGACATCGTTGAACAACAAAGACTGAGAGAAAAGAAAGAGACTGGTCACAGATTTGCAAACCTATGTGCCTTCAATAAACTGGTCATTGGCGGAACCATATTCCCACATAAACGCATACACAAAGCCAGATAGATTTCACCGGATCACACTACGCAGAACGAAATCGACCATATCGGCATCAATAAAACGTTCAGAAGGACTATGGAGGACGTGAGAAACAATAAAGAAGCCGATATAGCCTCAGATCATCAAATGCTGGTCGACAAGATGAAAATAAAACTGAAGAAGCACTGGACAACAGGGCCGGCAACATCACTAAACTTTAGTAGAACTTTTCTTCGGGATACTGACAGACTCAAATAATTCAAGATAGCCCTTAGCAATCGGCTACAGGTAATTCAAATAGGCAATCACTTCAACATGTCATGAGGTTCTGGGCCACAACAAACATTAACACAAGGAATGGATCATTGTTGATAAACTGGATTCAAGAAAGAAGGAATAAGAAGGCAGCAATGAATATCAACCGAACAAGAACAGAGGAAGTTAAGGAACAAACTGAATACATAGAAGCAAACAATAAAATCAGGAAGAGCGTCAGAGCTGATAAGCAGAAATACATGGAATACCTAGCAATGACAGAGGAAAAAGCTACAAGAGAAGAAGCATAAAACAACTATATGACACAACGAAGAAACCAGAAGGGAAATATAGTAAACCAGAGACACCAGTCAACGACAAAGAAGGCAAGCAACTCAGTGAGATTCAAGAACAGAGAAACAGATGGGTCGAACACTTTGAGGAATTCTTGAATCGACCAGCTCCACTGAATCCACCGAACATCAAAGCAGCACACACAGACCTTCCTATAAATTGCACTCCACCAATGATCGAAGAAGTCAGCATGACCATCAGACAAATCAAGAGTGGGAAAGCAGCAAGACCTGACAATATACCAACCGAAGAACTGAATTTAGACGTAGAAGTAACTGCAAACATGCTCCACGTTCTATTCAGGAAGATTTTGGAGGAAGAACAAGTGCCACTGACAGACTGAAAAGAAGGATACCTCACCAAGATACAAAGAAAGGAGATCTGAACATGTGTGAGAACTTCGGAGACATCACACTACAATCGGTACCAAGAAACGTTTTCAACAGAGTGTTGCTGAACCAGACGAAAGATTCAGTAGACGTCCAGCTTCGAGATCAACAGGTCGGATTCCGTAAGGATCGGCCGTACACAGACCAAATCGCGACACTACGAATCGTCGTTGAGCAACCAATTAAATGGAACTCGTCACTACACATCAACTTCATTGACTATGAGAAAGCGTTTGACAGATATTAATGAACAGCTGTCTATGCAAGACACTCCAGATCTGTTTGCTGCATAACATCAGCAACAACGTACAATGACACAGAACAAACCAGATTCCATTTGTAAAGGAAATTAGATAGTTGCCGGCGGTGAATAAGACATACATTGCGAAAACCATAAAACTGCATCACGATGCAGGTCCCAACTTGGAATCCTGAAGGTGAAAGGAAAAAGGAAGACCAAAAAACACATTGCATTGACAGTTGAGGTCAGATGTCAAAAGAATGATTAGCAATTCGAAAAAAACTGGAAAGGATTGGCCAGAACAGAGTTCGATGCAGAGTGCTGGTGGGCGGCCTATGCTCCTTCGCGAGGGGTAATAGACGTATTAGGTAAGGAATAAGTTTATTCCTATTAACAAAACCATTTTAATATCGTTTATGTAATACCTGTTTCGATAGTATTTATTAATAAAAAGTGAAGCATTAAAACTTTCCAAATAGTTTACTGAGTAGATTGGATTCATATGTATTCGAAGTCAGTCACCAAGTGTTGAAAGACATTTAAGTAAATATCGTTGGAATTACACTCGATAATGTAAACTTCGTTTACGACACAATAATAAATGCATTCAAACCGGTATATATGAGAGCACTATGAGAATAAAATCCAGAATCATGGAGAAAATACAATAAAACGTAAAAAAAAAACATTTGGTCGAAAGAGCAAATTATTTTTTATTATGAACTAATTAACACTTATAGTAAGTTGTTCTATTCCATCAAAGTACCTGAATTTACTAAATACACTTTTCCTTTAAGTTGAAATTGTCAGTCAGGTTAACGATCAATAGTAAACTTGTAACAGGACCTCTTGTGACCTGATGAAATTTTCATTCAGCACTCCTGCTTGTTTAGTCTTAACAGGGGAAACTACCTGATTATGAAATTATTTCTCAATTTGTCTTGGTTCAGTACTCATGTATTCAGTACATAATTAATGAGGCTTTCATCATCGTAAGTCGTATCATGAAACTGACTAAGTGACGAATAAAAAAACAGCATTAAGTTTCCAATCTATGTATTAAGAGTGGTTTATGCAATTATATTACCAAACAAACAATAAGGACTACTGAGTGAAATCAGAATCAGACAGCTTTGTGATGAATTGTTGCGATTAATATCATAATATACTTAATGAATTTAAATACACTATAAAATTCTCAACATGTACAACATAAAACTAAGATGAAAAAAAAAGAACATGGAGCCTAGTTTCTAAAACTTACGGATTTTAAACAAAAACTAATATTGAACTTCTTAAAGGCTATTTGAGTATTATAAGATTATAGAAAACAAATACGTATGTACTCAAGCATATTAAAATATACTTTGTCTGTTTAAGTGGTTAACTGAAAGTGGTGAAACAAATAATACTTGGAAAAGATATAATCATCTACCATTAAACTTTTATTGTCAGTATTTAGATATACTGGAATTTCTAATTGATTTATTATAATTAATAAGCTAATTCAATGTTAATTATGAGTTTAACAACATTTGTATTCCATTTTTATCATGAAAATACTCTCTCAATACAAATAGTGAACTTATGATCAACAAAAAAGTATATAAATAGTAAGTTTGTTTTATCTGACGTATTCAGTAAAAAAGTTTTTTTTCGTTTTTGCTTTGGTTGTTTGAATCTTCCTAATGATATTTTGGGACTGGAATTGATCGGTCTTTTTTTTACTATTATTAGCTTTATTCAATATTATAATTTTGGTACAATATAGAATTCTCAGCGCAAAGTATTTCAACAAGTTTCCGTTTCTTTCTTCTTGGTCGGTCCTGGCGATAAATATTGAGGAATCGCCAGTTAGATGTTAGCACTTCAATGAATGAACAACTGAATAATGTACATTCTTTTCGTTGTACATTGCCAGCAACTATATTGTCTCTTATTGAGTTTTCTGTAACTTTGACAACGAGAGGTTGTACACTTTTCAGAAACGCAGCAGAATAGGTTATGCGGTTAATAAATATAATGATATATTAAAACAAACAACAATAGATAACTTGTTGAAATATCTAGATGGCAGGAACAGGTAGCCCAGATGCTCAAGCAGGCCGCCCTATTGTTAATTGGCATATATGCATTCTGTGAGGATTACATCCATATTACTCTAAACCTTAAGCATTATAAACACACTAGTCCAGTGAAGATTTATTGACTCTTCAGAAATATGTCTCCAAATAAGTCTCAAAATCATATCAATCTTAGACCACGACACAATCTTTTTATACCAAATTCCACGCAATAATGCCATATAGGGAAGAAATACACAGTTACTGTAAAAATACGCAATAAGTATAGTTCACGTGAATGAATACAGAGAATAAAATTGTCACAATTATCATATAGAACAAAGTTTATACTGAATTAATAATGGAAAATAGTGATCTCAAAATATTACAGTGAATGAAATTCGCACCTGTCACCGTGGTCGAAATTCATAATGAATGTCGTCTTTTTGTCCCACCACATCAGTAAAAATATAGATAAAAAATATCACAAATATTTATTAATTCCCAGTCCTATTGGACACCTCACGTTTTTTAGAAACAATTTTATTTAAAGAAGAAAAAAGCATGACACAGCGCATTTACAGAATACTGGGTTTATATAACACCCTAAAAATAAATAAAAACTCCCCTGAACTTTTTATTTTTTTACTACATACCGTTTCTTCAGTAGTTGTTAATATGTCACTAATAAAAACCTTGGAGTTCTTGGAATAATTTAAACGTGTGAACTAATAAACATAAAAATACAATGTCTGATGGTCTATGTTGGAAAGAAGTTGGTGAAATGAACGGTTTTAGAATTTTTACACCACTAAACTATTCTCCTTAATAAAGAAATTAACAAGACACAATAAAGATATTGTAAACTAGACTCTCATTATGAAATGATGTTAGCTGATGAACGACGGAAAATATCAAATATTAGTCCTTCTCTATGGCCGCGTAACGTATTCAGAATATCTGAACCAAAGAATTTGTACATTAAAAGCTTGTTTGCAATGACTACCTTTACTTCAATTTTGATTTGTACATTGTCGACGGTAGACTATTGAAGTTTTATTAGATATTTTTTAGCGTTGTTTAACATTCCGATAACTGGAAAGAATTGACTATCAACATCTAAGGTTGTGAGTTCTGGATCAGCTACAATATTGGGATTCATGTAATCAACTCTCATTTTTTGTTATGCAAGTCTTGTTATCTTTAATAAATTTAAATATGAACAATGAAAGCAGTAATCAGCTTTGTGTAGATAGTGAGAAATGCAGTCCGGAGTATAAGGTTGTACGAGACTACTGAAATAAATCTCTTTTTAACGAACCAAAGTGAATAATCCATTTTGGATAATTGGGGTTTCGTGCTAACTATCAGAGTGCGTTGTGAGCTTAAGAATGAACAGCTGTCAGTTTCCAAACAATAACCTAATTCAAGGAAAACAATATTTTGTAGAACTTTGTTGAGAAAACTCTATTACACATGAGGATGAGTGAGATGGAAAAAAATTGTTCATAGAACAGTTTTTACACTTCGAAATATCTAAATTATTATGAAATTACTTGAAATAGCCAGTTAAATAATTTAATCTGTATAGCTGATGCTAACCGATACAAGAAAATGCAGGTTCAATTAAAGTGAAACAATAAAACACCAAAAGCATAAGGTTCATTTATAAAAACTCGAACGTGGGGTTAATATAGAACACTTCATCACAAACTTTGAGTAGACATTTATTTAGCAAACATTTGTAAATTGATTTTATATCACGCATGATTGCTTTCCTGAACAAATTCTTAGACAAACAGCCAACATAAAAGCACTGAATCTTATGTCTTAAATTTCACAGAATTCCACGTCTTCTAGTATTCTTATTTTTGTTATCATCAGCAAATGATTTCCTTTAGAAGGAAAACTATAAAGACAGTGGGATATGGTGTATGCATGTCCATTAGTGAAGACCTTTAACTTTATCTTACTTTTTAACTATTCTGAGCACCGTTCGGCTCAAAGTGCACCTACTTCAGACCAATGATTTCAAATGCGAACAAACCTAGAACAGAATTATACAAATAAAATAAATAGTTAAAATAACGAAGTCATCTTGTCAAATATATTATATTCTCACCTCCATTTAACGAATACCATCTTGCACCATTTGTAATGCCATCACTGAAATGGTTATCGGAGTCATAGCACTTTTTAATCCCTTTTTTCATTCGTGGATGATGATCAGCATAAGATTCTGCTAGCTCACTAAAATTTGGATTTTTTGAAAATTTATTAAGTGATCAATTTTTAAAGTTCAGCTTATTTGTTGTCATAATACGTTATTGTCATTCAGCAATACACTGAATGCTGGTTGGTGAAAACACTAACTACTTTGCATAAAATGGCTTTGTGCATAAAAGACCTTTAATTGTTGTGGCAGACCAAAGTTCAGTGATATAGATAAACTGAAACCTATCATTTCTTTCTATGTGTTTAGATATTCCCGTTGCTGACGTCAAGGATTGAATTTCGATTAATCTATCTTCTATTCAGTCATAAGTATATAAATAAAGACAGGTAGTGACAAGCAGTGGATTTCAGAAAGCCCATTTCGTCCTATTTGAATATTACCAATGGGAGCTTCTAGGTGCTTAGTCCCTAGAAGGAGACGAGAGGCCTAGATTTCACTTCTAGTCACCATCTATCTTTACTTTACTGTTAAAAATTATCCTTTGCTAGCGTAAAAACTTGTATTATCCTGTATTAACAAAGAATGATACCTCAAAATGATTTTGAATCGAAAACTATGTTTTTGAAATTAAACTGTGTACATTGGCTGGTCGTTTGACGTCACCCGTAATATTATCTGAATTCACATTGTTGGCTGAATTCTACCCACCAAGAGATAAAGTAAAAGTTCAGTTGAGAAAGTATGAAATCTTAATTCAAAGCTTGATATTGATGGAATTAAACTATTTGAAGCTAGGAGGTGTTTTATTTTTTCCATAGATGGACAAACCGAGTTCCTTACTTAGTACGGTTCTGAGATGGAGGATAAGATTTGTTTATCATGAATGAGGTGTCGACGGTGATGTGCTAACTGAATAAGCTAGTTAATCATAAAGCTTTATTGCGTGGCTAGGAAACCTAATCAACCGAAACTTCAAAAAGTAATATGCTACTGAAAATTTGTTATCGAAATATCCATGATCTCATTTTTAAAGATAAGATTCGACACAATACATTATTTTTAAACAAGGACGGACGATACGATACATGTTTAACTTCAGTTTTGAAAATCCATGCTTAAATAGGATGACAAGAGGTGATGTCCTAAAAAATTGATGATAGTTCATTTCAGTGTTTCATACGCGATCCTAGAAAATAAATGACAGGTCTTATGTCCTCCTATATATATATATATATATATATATATATATATATATATATCCAGTAAAATCCGTGATTTAACTTACACAAAAGTAGGATTATCTGGTGTAATAGATTCGGCAGAATTCCCTGTTATTGACTTGTCAAACGGATAATTCGCAACCAAATCACCACCGTGTATATTAGCACCCAGCACAAAATTGATTTTTTCTAACCATCCCATTACCATTCTTGTCTCTACTTGCGCCTTAATCAGTTAGTTCGTTTAAATGAAAAAATAGAAACTGAAAAGCCCTCAGTAACAAAAAACTAACAAATGAAAAGATAATTGTAAATTAAGATTAATTAATCACTTATTTACGCGAAATTTTACAGAATAAATGAAACTCAATATTCTCGATGATTAAAATATTCAGTTACGTTTTAAGACATGGTAATAAAAAAATCGTCATAATGTCAGCTTTACTTGCTATTTCGAGCGTTACAACAACTATTAAGTGTTCTTAATATTTGTATCATGCGTTGTGAAGATTGAATAGATAAATAATTAAAATCGAGTATGAATTAAAGAACATTTTCATTTACAAAAACAAACACGTCGAAGAAAGACGCCTCTAATTCTGAAATACATCGGTTTCCAATAGTGTAGGCTTTATACAACATAGTTCAAATAAGAACTGATAAACTCTTGTTGTCCTTATATTGAATAGGAAATTATGTTCAAAAAACAAGTTTCTAAGTTGGAAATCATTAATTGTATATTCCTTTAATAATGATAATCTTTTATATATTTAGTAATAATAACAATTACTTTACAAACATAAGGAGGGTGAGAAAAACCACGAAATATAATGTTCTTATTATGAGACTTAAAATGCATTCAGGTGCTTGAATATTGATTAGGAATATTATAAAAATTAAATAAAGTTTAATAACTGTAATAATGAGCTAGAGAACATTCTGAATTAAATCTTGAAGTTGATATCATAATTATTTTTTCAGCAGTATTGTATAGTTATCTGGTTTCTCGGTTATATTAGTTCTAAATAATGTATATTTATACAAAATAAAGTAATGCACAGGGACACTAAAATGTTTCGTAAAATAACCAGGATGGTATCAGTTCTCAGTTCCTAGTTCAACTGTAATATTCTTTTCTTACAAAGATATGTTATTATTTATAAATAAAAGCAAGTGACGGTCCTTAAATTCTCTAAGTCAAAATGCTATATAAAATCTACATTTTTGGACGGAAATAATACAGGTCACACTAAGTTTTAAGGTAAGCTTAGGAAAGTTTATGGGATTATGAAGACGTTTAATCAGCTGAATAACAATTAAAACTTGTGAGTACATATTCTAATTTTTTCCGCATTTATCGGAAAACAATCTGAAATACACAATGATTTCAAATTAGTTGACAAGCCAGTTTTTTGGTCACCTAACTTCTCCCACATACTATGTTGATACTTAGAATCATAATGTTAAGTATAAAACAAATGATTAAGATAACAGATCAATGACTCAAACTAATTTGTAGATGTGGATCTCTATTTTCAGTACCCTTCTCTGAACTTTATGATACTTAGAGCTTAAATTATAAGTCTAGTATGATTAGTTCCCATTAAAAATTTGAAACCATGATTGAATTGATTGATTTGTGTTGAAAATGCGCTAATTGTACGTACGCCTTTAAGATGCTTGCATTTATATGCTGAATATATTTTAATATTGATTCGCAGTGAAAGTCAAAACAGAGTCTAAGTTTCTGTAATTGTAAGTATACATTTAGCTGACGTGTTCCATATGTTAGGAACCATAAAATAGACTTTCTTGTTAGATATTCTACACAAATAAATTTTAAAGCATCAATTTTACAAGTTAAACTACGGCCAAGCAGTTTATAACTTTAGACGGGCAGTTTTAAGTGTCTCATATGTAAAATCATTTGTTTGTGCTTTCCAAAAATGTATTTTGGAAATAAGTTATCCCACAAAATTACCCAAGCAAATTATTATAACTAATGTTTTCTAATTAAATCAAACACAATAGGATGAAACGGCCGTCCAACGCTTCCAAGTTTTCCATGGTGGTAGAGCTTTAATTGACTCATGAATTGAATTATTGGATATATTAAAATCAACACCCATGGTCGGCTCCCTGAATATTAGTGGTAAATCAACAAAGTACTGAACTTATATGACCAAAATAACAGGTTTGAAGAACAGTGAGTAAAAATGGGAGTGGTTTATTATTTATTTTTTCATGATGTTAAATCAGCAGAATTCAATAATTGCACCCATCAACACTCATTTTTGACAAAATTCATAGACGATGTAGTTAATTTTCTATTGCCAAATTCATAGAAAATTTGGACAAGAAAATTATTTCTCTACCATATGTTGTCAAAGATTGATCAAGACATTCATTTTTTGCTTCAAATATTTTAAAGAACCACGTTTAAATTTCAATCAAATATTCATTATGTTAGATGATACATTGAATATTAACATACTGATAATCAAAAACGGCTTTTGAAATTATCTACATTACTAAAATTTCAGAATATCATTAAGTATTGATTATATAAAAACAGTTGTTTAATTCCAAGTTATCTAAAACCAGATCCTGCTACAAGATATTAGTTGCAGAAAAACAATTAACACTGTACGCACCAGCTAAATCCTTCACAGAAAATTAGGTCTCTTCGTTTGTGTAAACTACTGACCACCCTGAAAATTAACATAATATGTAGGATCTTATGGTATCCATATTTCATCCAGTTTCACACAAAAGGGTCCATTCTCGTTGCTTTAAGGAAAGAGACTGCAAACAGTGAAAATCGGTTTAATATAACAAACCAGTGGATTCCTCGCTACAAGACCCTTAATATATATGGTCTATTTCGATTATCGTCAAAGAGAACAAGATTAGGTTCTTTAAATCAACTTTAATTAACAATATATTTCAAGAGAAATTTAAGTTATTGCTTAAAGACTAGTTAGCACTCTAAAATTGTAGATTAAAACACTTATATAACTGCTTGAATCCTATGCTTTGTAATGATCAAACGATAAGTAGATTTTTATAATTCTAATAACATGCAATTACTTAAGCATTGACTCTATATTTGTTGGTTCAGCGATTATTATTCATTCCCGAACGCTTTTAGCAGAACATTCTAGCTACAAAATTTCCTAATTAAAAAGAATCAATAGTAAATGGTTTTTAACTTCATCCACGTTTTAAAATAAGATTACTCAAGTGGCATACCTTGATATTTGACTATTTATACGATGAAGTTGTCTAATTATTATATGATTGTAAATAGTGCCAAAAGTCTTAGTAGCCAGATTAATAAACATGGAAATAATAGTCACCTAACAAACTAAGTCGCCAGATATCTTATTAAATTATGAATGACGTTGACAATATTCCACAAAGTTAGTGATTTGTAAATAAGAAATTTCACTAGAAGACCTATTTATATTCGTCAAATGTAAACATGCTTTTATGGTAAGATCTTAAATTACAGTATATGTTCCACTTAATGGTTAGGAAAAGATTGAAATATCATTACTGCTCATGAAAGAAAAGTTGGTGAATTTAAATTACATTCTAAAAAAGTACTGGACTTGATAATTTCTCGAGTTTGCTAATTATTTAAACATTTTTGGGGGAAGCGACAAACTTTCAAATAAATAATGTGCATCAAAAAATTGACTTTCGCTGAACCACTGGCTATGATTGATGAAGGTTTAAGTTAAACATTCGTTCTTTAATGAAAATACTGGTAAGGTTAGTTATACTTTCGAGTTCATAGGTTCCCCTAAAAACATGGAGGTGAAGACCTTTAAATCCAGTGTTCTGATTAGTACAGTTACATAAAAACTAGGATATTTACAACAATGTCAGCAAAATTCTCAACTTAAATTATAGCAACGATAAAAATAGAGTATATTATGTGAATTAACTATTAGTCAAAGAAAGTTTACAATAAGTCGTCAGGTGGAAGCGTAAGCATCAATAATTGGTAACAGTGCCTTCTGAAATAACATTTATAAGAAATTCGGAAACTTTTTTGCATGAGATTAAAGCGATCTTCAAAAAATTGCGTAATACTAGTAAACCATTTGGCTAGATCATACAATAATTTGGCGTGTTTAAGGTGGATATTACATTTGACTGTCTGAGTGGAAACACGCGGCTCGACTTATGTTAATATTTAATACAGTCGTTATGTTGTTACGCAGCACAAAGCCTTATGTAAGACCTTTGAAATATTTTTGAAATTCTGAACCCGTAACAATTTTATTTTTTACATCATTTAAGTTTACCTTCTCCACATCGATTTCATCAGGTTGTAAATGGTCCAAAGGTCCACCGTTACGCAGATTGATATAAAACTTTTTTGTCAAGTCAGGAAAGTCCCTGTTGAGATCCACTTTTCTAGAATTGCATCTTCCTAATTCATGAAATTTTTTCTAAATTAAAAAAATATATAATTCAATAACATTGTTACGTTAGATGCGGCGATTTCCCAACCGTCCGGGTTCATTGAGGGCAAAATATGGATTCTCGTTCGGTTAAGCAGTTTGTGGACGAATGTGTTTTGTGAGGTAAATTCATCACACAGGTAGACGGCCAAACGTATTAACAGCTCTCTTCCAACAACTTCATCTCCATGCATGTTGGCAATATACTTGAACTCCGGTATACCTACATCATTGATGACATAAATGTAAACAGTACCTTTCACAGATGTGTTGGCATACTTCCCGAAAGCTATCACAAATAGTCTGTTTAAATTCGGTGTTGTGGTGATACGACCAGTTGTTAAATAGTAAGCATAAGAAATATCGGGGCATTTCTCGATAACTCTCTTGATTATGCGTTCAATATCTGCTTGTGAGTGATGATTCTGCCATGAAATAGAAATTGTAGAGCTCAAAACTATAGGGACAAAAAATAATCCGAAAAGACAGTACATCTATGGTCTTCATAAATCTGCTGAAATGTATATTTACGAAAATGAAATCGTTAAACAAAATTCTTTACTCATTCAATATCCAATATCTTCGTCACTAGTTTGTATATATAATACTCGACAGTTCGTAAATTTGCGTCTAGTTATAACGTACTTTGTGTGTTGGATGAGTGTCTGGAGCATTTAGTTAAATTATCTGGGTGAGCTGATAACTTATCAGCTCATAGAATGTACGCATGTTAATAGTCAAAGAGATTGACAAAAGTCTGGGAAAATATGGGCATTAAATAAGGACAATATGATAATCAAAATCCGAATTCGACGGTATAGGGTTTCAAACGTGGTACAGATATGCGATTGATTTCTTCGGGCTCACTTCTTGTTGTTTCATTAGGCTTCTAGGTATTTGGTTATGTCCGATAGGTGATAGTCTATCCAATCGACTTCATTAATTACAGTCAATTTGATAGTTTTTTTGAATGTGTATATTTTATAATTCGACTGAATTTATCTGTCTCAGGTCAGTGGGTTTTCTGTACATCAGAAGCTTTCACACTAGCAATCAGGCAATTGGCTAATTTCTACATGAAAAATAATAAAGCGACAACACTAATGCTTAAATAACGCGGTTGCTTCAAAATATAGATAAATAAGTTAATCGATCGGTTATAAAGAAAATGTGAGAAGATCGAATTTAACTCATGTGACTGGTGAATTTATTCGCAACGCCGCCATGTAAACTTAATGTATCGCACACTGTCATCTGTGCGTTCAAGCAACCACAGATTTTGTCATTTCATAATGTATTTTTAATTAAATAACTAGATTATGTTGTTAATTTTTCTCCGTTTTTGATTTTTATTCGCCACTTCTGACTGCGTTACACTGTACCTTCACTGCACGCTGGGATTTTATCCCAAGTCGTAGTGAGCGTAATCACATAGTCGATTGTTTCCAGATAGACCGTCGGTGCATAATGTTACTGAAGAAAGGTTTGTTGTACTGTGAATTATGTTTCTATGAACAACTGACTGTTATCTTCAGTCAGAAAGCAATATATACATTTTTTGTCTTCTGTTAGGTAAGTTCAACTGGCCTATATTTCGTGTTTTGGTTTTATCAGCTGAATTATGTCCATTTAACTACTTTGAGCAACATGTCTGTGCAAATGAAACAATAATTATGACACTTGTTTAGTTTAGTATTCTTGGTTGTCGTATAATTCAATTTAGTTGAAAAAATGGTGGTATACTTAAATATAGTGCTTGAAGCCTGTAACGAAACAGATCAGTTTAGTAAGTAGAGTTGCCCGTTCCTAATGAGCATACCGATTCATATCAGTCTGATTAAAAATAGGAAAAAACGTGCTTTTTATGCTGTTGCTGTCATACATTATAAGATAGCGATAAGTATGTTTGTTGTTTATTTCTAGACTGTACATCTATCACTGACCATATTTCATGATCACTGACATTAAACAATTTCCCCAGCAATAACATCGGTAGCAAGATAGCTAGGCGTCTGAGCTTCTAGTTGCTCGCAAAACAACAGTATACAGTCTTAGAAGATGAGTGTTCTGTGTCTCAATTAAATGCAGCTGGCTGTGGACAAATGTTAAGAATCTTTTTGACAACTGGTACTTTTAGTTTATCAGACACTAACTCTGCTTGTATGTCTTCCTGTTAAACTAGACGCAGATGCATGGGAATACTTAAATGGGAGCAAAATAATAAAAGCATTGCAATACGGTACTAAGCCCGTGTTATGCTTTGCGCAAGTAATAGTAGCTGTCCTTATCTAATTTTCATGAACTCAAGGTAAATCACAACTGCATAAATTCTTTGCTAAAAAACGTGAAATCTGGTTATTTATCTATTCAACATTTCTGACTAAATTCATCACTATTTTTTTCATTTGTAATGCAACAGGAGTGAGCCTTCACAGATCCTAAAAACTGTTTCGCCCTTAGAACTATGGCCCTATGGAACTGTCTACGGGAGACCAAACTAACAGCAACTTATAAAAAGGATGCTGGACGTCCATTTTGGTCTCACAACCACTTTCAGTATTTTTTGACTTCTTTTACTCTTTCGTCTGGAAAAAAACAACAAAAACTGCAGCTTAACATTACCAATGCAACTTTTAAACGGGAACTTGGTTTAAACCTTTGTTTGATATTCGACTCTTAATGAAAGTTCTTGAGTAAATTTTGGAATTAAATGCTACTTTGTTTTATCTATTTAATCGTTGCAAGAAACTTGTGATAAGCAAGCCCCTCAGCACCTAGTTCGTGTGTTCAAATGGTTGTGGACTGAATAGAAGAAGCTTTCGCTCAACAGGCTTCCGTGTCTAGTAGCAAGGGATTACCAAATCATCCAGGCAGGAACCTAGGTATGTTAACAATAAAAGAGAAAAAAGAAATTGGTAAGTCATAGTATGATACTATCCGTAATCCTTAAGAATAGATCCAGTTGCCTCTTGAAGGACTCCTGGGAAGTCGCTTGGACTAGCTCGGCGGGCAGCGAATTCCAGCATTTGACAACTCCTAAGGAGTAGAAGTTGCGTCTACAGTCCGTTTTGCTATGTTGTGTCTCTAGTTTCTGGGTTTTAACCCTTAGATTATTGTTGAAACTAAGCTTAAGTAGGTGTTTAAGAGAATGTCCAGAAGTGTTAAGGATACTGTAAGCCATTAGACGGTTACCTATAAGACGTTTATACTCTAAGGGGTAGAGGTTAAGTGATTGGTGGCGCTCTTCATAAGGTGATTTTGTGCATATCTTCGTTATTTTCTTGGGAAACCTACAGATTCGGGTCCTCTCACAACTTATTCTAGCCACCATGAGTTGTGACGGCAGCTGATGGATGGACACGCGTTACACATCCTAACCGTCCCTGTGTCTAATCTCATAGCTGGTTATTCAAATGTCATATGTTAAGCAAGTAAGGCCTATACCGACACTAATGGAACACGAGTGACTCAAAGACACCCTGTATGGTACTGAAGATGACACAGGTATTTAGTGTCTGACAACGCTTCTACCAATAACGTCTAATATAATTCGTTCCCACTCAGAGAAATGAAAAGACAGAGTCGAGAAGGTCGGAAGAGTGTATTTGGCGATAACCAATATATCGGAATTCTCTGATCTAATCTGGCTAGCGATTGCACTAGCGGTTGAGCACGGGTTTACCACACGTGAACTGGTACGTATGCATGACCGAGCGCCTTCAGCTAGATTAGTCCACTAAAACATATGGTCAGCATCCAATGTCGAAAACTTACAGAGCTAGTTATTTTGGGGATTCATTTACCGCTACAGTATCTTATATTGGTCTACGCAGTCACTTAGCTCCTTAGTGAGAATATTACTACAGTCCTGCTAAAAATCCCATGAACCCCCTACCTCCATCAAAACAAATAAGCCTGTATTTGCTGCATATAGCAATTTTACGTTTCAGAAGATATAACAGTTAGAATTGGAGTAAAATGGCAGTATACAACAGATGCATGTGGTACATGTCTTCGTCGATCAACTGAAACAGAGAATACGGATATTAGCTTAACACGCTTATTTAGGAAGGCTAGTGTCTAATTTGAACGTACTGTGTGAGAAGGTTATACTCGGACTATGAATAATGTAGGAATCTAGTCAACCAGGGTGTATGAAGCACTCAAACTGGAAGGCAGTTGTCCAAAAATTATTCGAATATGAAGGTGAGAATTTGCAGGCACTTTTCATCGTAAGGGTGAACATATTAGGTGCCAGTTGACATCATACAGTAAAGAAAACAGGTTTGCCAGTGGTGAAATATGATCTTTAAAAAAGTTAGCTTAATAACAGCTAATTACCTTTTTACTTCCTGATCATGACCCTTCGGCTTCATTTTGTGGCCAAAACAGCAAACATATACTACACACTGGTAGCAGATTTCTGGCTTTTCAATGTTAAGCTTGCTTTAACGCACTACTTAACGAGTATAACCCCTCTATTACTACTATATGGCATATTTTTAATAACAAACCCTCTGCAATAGATTGGTAGTATCCGTCGCTTCGTCTATGGTTGTCGAAAGTGTGGGTCCTTTCGAAAACAATACTGATATCCCCTACTGCTTGACACTGTGTAAGTTTGACTCGCTGGTGGGATAGCAATGTCCATAATACTGAAGAAAATTAAAAACCGGAGATTGTTTCCTTTCATTTTGCCGATAACATCATAAAGGACAGTTAGGAGCGAACATGCGGACAGTTAGTCAAAGGCGGCAGCAACAATTATTTTAGCTAAAAAACGAACTTCGGCTTTGGATATCTAGAAAATAAGTCGATACAAAACCGATTACCATTTTAAAACATAAGACTAGCCAGCTTGGCTGAAGAAATACATTGACTTGAGTCGAAGCAGCAAAAACCCAAAAGACAATGCTGATTCGAAGTAAGTTTCATATCAACATATAGAACAATGCACTAACTGCGGCATTTTAGCACACTGAAACATTAAATTACATAGCTACAAAAAAGAAATAGCTGAAAGAAGCACAGAACGAAGAAAGCCGACCTCCGTTGCTTACAAACATGGCGGATATAATTCCCGCCCTATTCTGATCGGTTGCTAAGCTGAAGGGCACATTTACGAAATGGAGTTGCGTTTAATTTCAGCCCATGTGACACTAGGCATACCACTGACGTTCCTCAAGCTTTCAAACTGGTAGCAGACAAAAAGGTACTGCTTCTCTTTGCTTTACTGAAGCAATCACAATAAAAATCTCAGACCAGAAACAAATGCTGGAATTCCGAACGGATGGATGCTTCAGTTTCACAGGATAATCTACAGCATGTAGACTGGGAGTTTCATCCTCAAGTTAGCGTGGTTGCTCATTGGGATATTTACTGTGAACGACTTTTTGTGCTACAGAGCATTCTGTTGCACCAAAAGCCCGAAAATATACAAGCAACCTACGATCATCAAGAATCACACTTTCTTCTTCGAAATGGTAATAACACCGCATACAGGCAATTTAATAAATGTAAGGGACATGTGCATAAAGGCAACAGAAGACATGTTTCAGTA